ATTTCCATTTGAGATACGTGTATTTCAAATTTTCAACAAATGAAAGGTGCAAAAGGAAGTCAAATTTATTTAATTTGACCTTTATTTCAATGCCTTTTTTATTACTTATTTTGAGTATATGCTAAAGGACGATTTATAAACTTGACGTAATTATTTCTTGAAGATGTAGCAACCAGTTAAAAGGTTATATAACGTGGTTGTACGACATTTCGTCTATTACGACTTTTTCAAGTACATTGTTTACAATGTTACAAAGAGTTGATGCTGTAATTTTGTTTAAGTATTGTTTAGTCTGGCCAATATACAGCATCAACTGTTGGTAAAATTTTAAACAATGTACTTCAAAAAGTCGTAAATAGACAAAACGTCGTACAACCACTTTATATAACCTTTTAACTGGCTGATACATCTTCAAGAAATAATTACATTAACACACCATGTTGACGTTGCAGTTACTGTTGCAAGGCATTTCTTGATATCAACCGTGAACGTACCCTTAGTGTAAATGTGTAAAGTGTGATAGGATTTCCTGTAGAAAAATTATGCTAATAGTTTACATTTGCCATCATCGATATTTAAAGCACTCCAACTTTGCACAAACAGAGATTGTTTTGTTTGCATTCGATTCTGCATTGGGAACGTTGAGCTCTGATATGATTTTTCCTCTTTGCCTCAAGTTGTAACGCAATTATCATTATATTTCAACTGTAATGCATTATATATTTCTACAGCAAATGATTTTACTATGATGCGAAATAAATTCGTTTTCTGAATACTTTTTTGGGCATACATGTTAAAGAGAAATGGTAATTGTAAACTATTCAGATGTAAATACGATTGCAAGATAAATACATGTACTGTGATACTTTAAATGGCACATAAAGTTCATTTAAGGTTTCACAGTTCATGTATTTACTTGTAATCTGAATTTCCAACACATAAATAGATATTTGAGTATCCCGCTTTTTCTGTATAGTTGCCCTTGCAACCGTTGGATGGCGCTTTTTACAATTCCAGTCGGTAACATGGGAGATTCTAATCTATCCGTATGTGATTTGTGAATACACTGTTGACTTTGACTTGACCAAATGTGGTTTACGTGTAACTTCGTTTTGTTTGATTAAATGTAATTAACTAATGGACAATTATTTCGAATACTTTATGTAGTCGTGATCATCTGTTATAAGATTGAAATTCTCTATTTACCGTTTAGATGTGGTAGGGCTATTTGGGTCTATGCTAATACTGTTTTCAGATAATTTATACATTGACATTACTGTAGATTGAGTTGTGTTGTTGGATGGAATTTCATCTTGTCCTTGCGTAATTGGGATTCTCGTAACTCTTAGCTGTAATGTACAATATTGAAAAGACGACATTTACGTAGTGTAACAGTTACCCCATGCTCTGTTGTTCGACATCCTTGGTAAAAAATATTACCTAAAATATCAAGTATTTTTTTTCTAAATCGGTTAATTTCTTTTCATATTCTGGTCCTCCTCCCGTGCCATTTTGTGCCCTTCTAATATCACTCGCTTTTTTTTCACGTTACACTTGAAATCTGTCCATGTCTAGAACGATTGATTGATTACCTACACATTGTAGCAATTTCTATTTTCTAGTCCAACACTTACCTTTTGCCATTTTGCTACAGTTCTCTCACCTAAGCCTGTACTATTTAATTTGGGCGTTAACTCCTTCCACAGTCTCTTATAAGTTTCCCTTCCTGCGGGATAATCTTGCCCGTAGCAAAATCTCGATGATTTTCCATAAAATCAACTATTATCTCCCAATGTACATCTTTTATCTTGAACGCCCTGTAATTTATATACTTAAATGAAGTCAACATTCTAAGATTGTTTATAAATATGAACTTACATAATTTCGATATTAACAATTTTCACACGTTTGATTTTATGTAATTATCACCCACCACGAGAGGTGTCGTCCGAAAATGGACAATTTTTCACGACAGTCGAGTTGCTCGATAGCAATTAGAATCGCAAAAATGGCGTACTTGTATCGAGTCGCTCGATACGATATCATTCAGAATCCGCCTGCTGATTATTTATTTCTGATTAGGCTTGCTGTACTTTTAGATAAGTACAAATGCTTTATATTTTAGTATTTAAATGTTAATTTATACGTTATAATTTTATATTTTGCTAGACTACGAAGAGAGGTCCCAAAACGAGTTGTGAACAATATGAAATATATTTGGAGTACATACGAAAACACGATGTTTTAATAACGGGTAAATTATAACCGGGGATGTCACCTAACATCATTAAAGAATTGTGGGACGAAATGGTTGTGAAATTAAACAACGTTGGGACAGGACCTTCGCGAACTGTTGACAATTGGAGGAAGGTTTGTATTCAACAAATAAAAGTGGTTTATACCTATGTTTATTATGTACCTATTTGGGTCGTAATTCGAATTTGTATATTTCAAGCGTTTAACGAATGCGAGAACGAATGGAAATCCACCACGAAGAAAAAACCTCTGAAAGAATTAGAAAGGCAAGTAATGAATGTGATGAAGCCTGTAGTGATTGCAGGTGTATCTTCGATCACAGAATTAGGGACACAGGATATTTTAGTGCAGGTATAAATCTGATGGGCGAGCTTAGCTTAAAATCCATGGAAACCATTGTCGCAATAATCGTTGCCATGGATTTTAAGCTATATTTGTCGGTGCAAACGGCCATGATTGAAATTATTTCGAGTACCTACCAATATTTTCAATTGCGATTGAAAATAAATAGTGTTTGTTCTCGTGTTTATTCGATAATAAAATGTGTATATTGATTGTTTTATTTATTTATTTTACATTTCTCAATTATAGAAAAGAGATCTACTAAAACTACAGTGGAGCAATATAGTTACTATCTTCAGTTTTTGAGAGAGAAGAAGGAATCCGAAGAAGAATGGCGTAAGCTAGTGGACCAATTAAATAGTTTACAGAGGGCGGCTAGAAAAATGAGCGAATGGAAGAAGATATGAGATTAGTCCACCATTAGAAATTTCTCTATCAACATTTTACAGGTGTTTGCTGATTGGACAAACAATGTTAAAAAAAAGTGGCGACTGAATTGCAACATGCGTACAATCAATGGCTCCTATTATCCCCGGAAATCCATGTAAAATTTGGGCAAACTTCAGTTTTTCAGCATTTTTTTGTTGAAATGTTGGGAAGTTAACTCTGTCTAACATTACCTCGTTTATCGCATCAGTGACTTCTGCGATGCACCTGCTGACTGATGACTGCGGGTAACTGCCCTGTCCATAAAAGTGCAGTGCCACAAGAATCCTAAGGTAAATTGGTATTGGTGTTTGTCCTCTTTACTGTCGAAAATGAGGGCTAAGTTCATGTATAACATCCTGAGCCAATTCCCTAGATAGTCTGAACACCGACATGAACGTACTTTCCGGCATCGTCATGGGGTTATTTGCATCACGGAGTGCCCGTCTTCGTAAATTAACTTGTAAAACATATAAATAAAATTCGTATAAAAAAAAAGCGTATAACTTTCATTTTGTCGAACTGACAAATCGTATAAATTAAAAGCCTATAATACGAAACCTGTATTACCTACTTAACGTCTAAATTGTCTGTAAGATGGCGATCCGTAGCGTAAACTAGTGTAAACCATACTGTTACTACTGAAGAAGATAGGTCATTCTGTACGAACAAAATCCTAAAATTTCGACGACTCGACAAAGCAATCGATAGGTATTAACTAAGGTATTAACCATACTTTACTAATTAACCATACTAATTGCCGAGTTTATATTATAAAAGAAACGCGTATTTTTATTTGTCGGCGTGTTACTAGCTTATAGGTAAAAAGTTTCGTTTCATATGTATATTTAGAAACGATAAAAAACAGACGACATAACAACTGTTGCGATTGCATTGTACTTATACATATTACGGAATGGGAAACCAGCCAGCAAGAGCAACGAAAAGGTCAAATTAAATGATGCTAAAGGTTTGAAAGTCGAGAAAAATTATATGTTAAGGCAGCCCTCGCCTCCTACATTCTCCAGGCAGAAACTTTTTTGTGGCCCGACGTACTTCTATAGCAATTTTCTGTTGCAACCCCGGAGGTTGAACTTAGGCGTTTAATGCTCATTTGCACCGTACAAATTAAATTCTGCTTATAAGTAGAGCTTAATCTCTATAGCAACCATTGTCTCAACAATCGTTACCAAGGTATTCAAGCCATACTTACATTTAAGTATTCCGTAATTGTTATGGTGCAATTTGGTCTAAAGGCAATATCAAACAGTTCACTTAAATGAAGTACAAGCGATTGATGCCGAACGCCGAAAGCAACATCATGAAAGACAGAAATGAATAAGAAGTGAATCGTCTGATATCACCTTAAGAGAAAAAATAAAATACATTGAATAGAACTTAATATATTTATTTTAATATACATAAGCAAAACAATCATACAAACAATTGTAAAGCACAGATTGATAATAAAAGCATCTAGTAGAACCCTAAACAAATGTGAAATATGTAACAATAAATTGAAAGATTAAATTTGAGAGTATTCATATGAAAAATCGTGAGCCAAGTATTGCTTCATTTCCAACAGTGAACATATAGAACGATCTTATTAAAATAGATTTCTCAACCACTCTTGTTGGTCTTAACGCCAGCAATTGCAACCGCGTTAGTTAACAAGTACATTTTACAAGAATTAAAACAAGTCTTGTTGTTTGTATGGTCATCTGAATTGCTAAATGTTAACAAGACTTTGCCAGCTCTACAGCGAGGACCGAATAGAAACGCGACAGATAAATCGAAAAACATTCGTGAATTATATTTGCAGTATTTTTGTAATGAGGGTGGCGTACCTTGGCAAGACAAATTTATTTAAGATTAAGCCGTTTAGAGCCGTTTACATTACACGAAATTCAGTTCTAAATTATGAACTAAATTTAAGTACAAAGTTTTAGTCAAGTATCATACTGCCAAAAATGTTGAACTAAAATTTTGTGCAAAATTTATACAACTTGTTCTATTTTTCTCCCAAAATCTGCGCGTAAATCGGCGCAGCAGTAGTAGAATGATTGTGTTTATTGTCGTACGGTTTATTTATATATGAATTGCGTATTCCTAACCTAAAACTACTGAAGTAAGTTAACGACCGCATGTGAATTTTTATGAATTTATTATCATATATAATGTCGTGGGTACAAAATTATGTGACGCTTCTTATTGAAGAGTACGAAAAAAATCCCTGTTTATACATAATCAAATCTAAGGACTACAAAAATCGACACATGCGAACAAAAGCTTTAGAATCGATTCTTAGTTTATTAAAACCAATGATGCCAGAGATTACTGTTGCTGAAATTCAAAAGAAATGGAATGCCCTAAAAACTAATTTCATGAATGAGCACAAAAAGGTTTTGGCATCGAAAAGAAGTGGAAGCGGAGACGATGATGTAAGTAACCATTTGTTTTAGTTAGATTGCTATAATTGTTATAATTATCAGGTGTATGTACCAAAGCTATGGTATTATAAGAAATTGTTGTTTATATTAAATGCTGGCACCGAACCTAGACCGTCCGTTGACAGTGTTTTGGAAATCGATACATTAGAACATGATGGTACTCAAGAAAGTTTATATGTAGATGAGGTAATTGCATTTATAAAATTGCATCGGCTAAACTAATTGTATGCGTATATACATTTTAGAACATGGATGAGAGTGAAGCATATTCAGAAACGTATTATTTAGAGGAAACACCTGAAGGCGATACCTTTATGGTTTCTGAAAGAGAAAACCAAGTTTATTGTGGTTCTCAATTGACTCCATCTGCCAGAACACCAGGTTCCATAGAAAAAAAGCCAAGAGGCAAAAGAAATCGCGCTGCACTTGATGACTCCGATAAGAAAATATTACAATCAGCAAGTGACGCTGTTACACAGATTACACAAGCACTAACACAACATTCTACTAACTATGATCAAGGAAAAAATGAGTCGGATAGCTTTGGGGAATACATTGCCAAAAAATTAAAATTGATTAAAAATAAAACTCTCCGAGGTGCAGCTGAGTTAGATGTGATCAAAATTTTAAATTCATACATCAGGACGATTAATATTTTTTATTTAGTTACCTATATACTTGGTTTTTCTTAATGTTAAAAAGACATATTTAATCAAATTGGAGAAACTAGTTTTATTCAAATACAAAAATACATAAGAAAACTGTTTTACATGTTACAATTCTTTATTGCAGCTTCTTGCCATTCCACAATACCGCAAGGGGAATTAAAATATTCAGAGTATTCTTTCCGAACATCTCTAGCAAAATTAGCTGATCTGTTAGCCCGATTAACTGCTTCCAAATTATGCAAAAAATTACTGCTATCATTTTTCCCTTCTGTACAGGGTGTTTTTTTGGGAGCTTTAGTTAAAGTTTCTGGGAAAGTAAATAGGTAGGTTTTTTGAAAATTTGTACTTAGGAGTTACTCTGAAGGCCGAATCGATGTAAAAATTTTCAAAATGGCCCGCACTTCCGGAAACACCGGAAGTAGATAGTAACTTCGTTATTTTTAAATGGCAACCCCTATTTTTATTGCTTTTTTGGATTCTACGTGAAAATTTCACTTCTTTTGATACCCATATGTCGATATCTACCATTATGGTTTTTAAGTTATTTTGACTTTCAGAAAAAAAATGGCGGATGCAGATGGTACCTTGATAATTGATTACTTGCAAACGGTTTGAGTCATGGCAACCTATTTTTATCAGTGCATAGAGAATGAATAGGGCTTTCTTTTAGTGCACTTAAAAAAAAGTTAAGTTGCGTACGACCGCCCCTATTGGATATCCAAATTTATGAAACTCGCAGCAAAAGATACACTCGGCATCATCATCCACACGAGATTTATTTTTGGATGCCAAAGTTTCCTGGGAGCAGGTTTTCCTGCCTTTCTTGTAGAAATTTCCAACAATTCATTTTTGTATGGACTTTCTGTCAAAATACTCGAGTGGGCAACTTTTTTTTGCGCGTTCCTACACGAGTGGCGTTTTTAATAGGAAGTGGAATCAGATCCCGAAAACTTCCAGAACCATTTTCTTGCCACAGTTTTCGAAGTTGTGGGCTCGTTCTCCTTGTTTTCTGTCGGTAGAATGGGATTCGATTTTTCTGGGGTTTTATGGATACGATCAATTAGATCGGTCTTATTCGATTGAATTGAATGAAAATTTGTCCCCACATCAGGTTCAGGTTCAATTTCTTCTCGAGTCTTTCCTCCTGCATCCTTATGAGTACTATTTACTTGATCTTTTTGCGCATCTTCTGTACCTTTTTGATCTTGCAAATTCCTTTCATCTGCAATAGAATGGAACTCGGTTTCATTTACCATAGATGCGATGAAGTCTTCGTCTGTAAAGATGTCGGGATTAAAGGGAAATATTCCACATTTCTTAAAGCCAGACACAGCATTACGGATGGTACCTCCTTTACCATACGCTTGATTAAACAACTCTGGGATCTCTCTTTCTGTTACAATCCTTCCAGGATGCTGAGTTAACCATGTAGATACGGCTTGGTCATAGAATGAGTTTATACTTTTAAACACGGCGACATCAAGCGGTTGTAGTTTGTGGGTGGTATCCCACTAAACATTGAAAGTAACGAAACGGCAATTAAACGTTAATAGAATGCCGTAGTGGAACTTCGTATTCTCACGTAACATTTACTTTAGACGAACGTTTAATCCGAAAAAAATAACAACAACTTCTGTCACTTCTATACTAAGTTACAATTTTTCTGTATGATTACGTTTAAAAACTGAACGTGGTCTAAACGTTAATATTTCTACTATAACGTAACGTCGTATTTAGACGTAAGGTGGATTTCGATGGGAAGTTAGATAAGGACGTATAAGGTGTACATTTCTATTACGTGCAATTAACGTTAGTATAATACTCTAATGTAACCTCATATAAAAACGTTGTATTACTTCAGGCGGAGGTTAAATCAGAAATAGATAAACTCCTCTATTTTTGTTACATCTATAGGTAGTTACACTTTTCTGTATGATTTACGTTGATTATTAAACGTTACTCAAAAGTCTTATTTTGATTTTATGAACTATTCTAAAACGTCTTTGCAGTAACGTAATATTGCCTAACAAATTGTTGTTGACAACGATGCGATGAGTCACGACGTTCGACTTGTTAGTTTGTGGGGGACAGGGGTTGGGGGTCTTTGCCGTGGGCATTGCCAGATGCTATACAATGAAATTTGCACTTTATGATTTTACCCAGCGCGCTGTGGGTTAGTGGCGTGGCAAACCCGTTTGTGATTTTGTGCAAGGTGCAAGTCAAGATAATTTCGAAATACCAAACGCCTTCAAGCTTTTCACCACCATATACATTCTACAATTAATTCAATAACAAAGATAAAAGTAAGTATTCGCAAGTACTAATAGGTATATAATGTTTCAAATTGTTTTTGATTCCATGAGAAGTATGCTCGCGTTTTTCGTTACCTAATTTGTTATATTTGTATATGCAGATGGCTCAAGTAGATCAGGAAGGATTGAAGCATGATCCATATACCCTAATCGAATTTACATTCGATGAAGATGAGTTCGTTAGTGCGGTTCCTACGAAATGGATCAATTTTGAAAGATTGGAATGCAAGTGGCCACGCAAAAACGAACGTCAGGCCATATTAAAACAACACACCCCTCATGAAGATTGGGTTCTTTTAACCAACATTGTCATCAAGAGTTCTTTCTGTAAGTAATTATTTTTACCCCTTTGTCACCAATTATGGATAGGCAGTTCAGCAAAAGGTATTTTTCCTGTATTTTTGCAACATAAATAAACTAATTCAATACAAATAAGTACACAGTTAAAGAAAATACAATCATTGACTTTACAATGAAATATGTTGACCTTGGCAGATCCGCTTCTAAAGGAGTGGGCGACGCAACATGAACCAGTAGCGTAACATATGAGACTGTAAATAAATAATTTTGAGGGATTACCTATTATTAACAAGTTACAGTGTGATTAAATAATTGCATTTATATTGTATATCCATTATTTATGATTGGGTACCTATGCGTTATTTACAAGGGGGAATTCATTATTTGGTATAGATATAGTCCACCGGTATGACACATGCTCCAATCAAAACGTTAATTATGTTGAAAAATAACCGAAGATGTATGTATGTAACTTTAGGTAGTAAATTATTTTATTGTACACATTACTTTCATTTTTATACCCTATCGAACGTTGAAAAAAAACAGCCCTCATATAAACTAAACTTAAAAAGCTACTTAGATCTGTATAGTGTAGATGTAATGTGTTGAAGGTTAAAGAAAAGTTGCCTTATGTTTGTATTATTAACCATAATCATATTTCAGTTTCCTATTTTAGGATTTATTCATTTACAATATTTTATGAATACATTGTTTGAACAAACAAAAAATAACATTTTATTTTATACTTGGTGGACATTAATTATGCGAACGCAAAATCCTTGCAATTGGCAATTGCAAAATTCATGGATTCTTTGAAGCTTTCATAGGTTAAATGAACAACTGGAAGTTCCAGTTCCAGTGCGCATGTATTTGCTGTGGGATAAATGCTATTTTTCTCATGCCGAATTTGATTTTGGGTTTCCACGGAAACCCTAAAGGAGGAATAGTATCAGCCCCTGTTGCAAACACCAGTATATCCTCCAGCGTTACATCCATTTCGCCACCTGAAAATTCGACAATATAGGCACAGCAGGCACAATAAACTAATATTGAGTACTAATTTATGCTTTAAATAAAATTATGATATGATCAAACTGACATACAAACTCACACACTGACATTTTGTGGGTGCATTTTAATAAATACTTTTATCTCCGCGCTCTACCGAGAAGCAGATTTTGCTCCCTCTTATGCAGGAGCAAAGTATGCGTTTACTACTTTCTGTGGGAGGAGTATCAAAAATTCCCTGCGGGAGGTAAGGTACTTTCCATGGAAACGTCAATTACTGTGTTCTGTAAGCTATATTCTGCACTTTGCTCCCTTGATATATAAATAGCTATTTTGTACTCCCTGGACTAAACCAACGTGTTTTGTCATCCATTTAAGGGACTAAAGTATCACTTTTACTCCCGGAGGGATTAAAATGCATAACGACGGGACGAAAAGTGACAGTACTCAATGTAATATCAAATTCAACTTAATAATAATTTGTGGTTACCTTAAAATATACCAGCTCCTGCACGGTATTTTAGAGTCAGTATGCCGTTTTACATATATCTTTTTGAATATGGGAGGTAGTACTTTCCTCATAAGACTTGTTCTGCAAAGTTTTAAACGACCAAGTCTGCGTCATAGTTTGGAACGCAAATATTTCAATTGAACAGACATTTATCATTATATGGTCGCAATTTAACATGACAAGGTACCTATATTGATTCTACAATCAATCAAATTTTTTACCTTTCAAATTTGGACTTGAACATTGAAATTGCTGTAGTGGATTATCGGAGTACAATAAATAGCGAATATACCACAGGACTAAAGTTTGTCCTAATTCCTCGGGTGATTGTTGCCCGAAACGTAGTGTATAATTTCCTCCCGCGGCCAATATTGCGACCCGACGCGTAGCTACCTTACGATCACACTTTGTTAGGCATATCAACTTACCTGTGATCACCCATTGTAATCCTAGCAATCGGCTATCAATAGTGACAAGTAATTTGCAAGTTTGCAAGTGTGCATTTCAGGTAAAATGAATAGCTTTGAAATGTTTAATAGTGACAACAGCGATTTAGGTTTGCAAATACTCCTCCGACATTAAAGAAAAGGCCAATGCTGCAGCGTTACCCCAGATATCGTAATAAAAGTAGGTACTTAAAGTTTTATTCGGCATTCGATCAATGCTGCACAAAGAAAATTGACAGGAAGAGCAATGAAGTTTCGGGCTAGCATATTTTTACGCGATTTAATTCTAAGGTGGGTAACTAAATCATCGTCGCTATGGCCTAAGTATTAGATGTTGAAAGCAACTTTAACCGTGCAGGAAATTGTAGCTATCAAATATCCAGAATGACTTACATTTCTAAAACGCCAGAATGTAGGTTACAAAACACAGTGTAATTGACGTTTCCATGGAATAGTTATTTACATATGAGTATGGTAAATCGAAGTTTACGTTAACGAGTGAGATGTTTACTGTCGAAGCGTAGCTGAGGCAGGAATTTCGAAATGAGTAACGTAAACTGATTTAACATACAAATAATGTAAAACATTTTATTTCATACTCTCTAAATTCCATAACAAAAATTGAAATCATTTTTGATTAGAATGTCGTACACATTCAAATAATAG